GAGAGGGATCAGCCCTAGTTAGAGAGTCGCTAGAGGCTTCGCTAAGGTAAGGACAGCCGAGTTCTAAGAGAAAAAAAACACTTATCAGCAAAGAAAACAGCATGTGCCAAGGTCCTGGGGCAGGTGGGAGCATGGCAAATATAAGAGATAAGAAGCTGAGATAGTGAAGGTGGAAAATAGTGCAGAGGCCAGTGGGTAGATGGGCCACATAGGTCATGAAAGGGAGTTTTGTCTTTATCCTAAGAACAATGAGGAGCCACTGGAGGTGTTTTAGCCAGGTGTGAAGTAACTGAAAATTAGCAGTTTGAAAAGATCTGCATGGCTACAGGGCGAAGAATAGACTGGAAGAGGCCAGCCTAATTACAAAGTGAGAGATGATAGAAACTTTAATAGGGTAGGGATGGAAATGGAATGGACAGATTGGAGAGCTGTTTAGGAAGTAAAATGGATAAGACTTGGTTGTGAGTTGGATGTAGGGAGCATAGCAGAAGGAGAGGTCAGGAGTGATTCCCCTCGGCTTCTTGCTTTGCACAATGGGAAAAAGAGAAGTAAAGAGTCAGGTTTGAGAGATTGTGAGTTTTGGTCATGTAGGGTTTGAAGTGCCTTTGAAATGTTCCAGATAAAATGTCAAGTACATAATTGGCCATATGAGGCCAGAATTCAGAAGATAGATGAATGTGAATCTTCAGTGTATTGTTTAAGTGGTCACTGAAACTACCATCATCAACCAGACTGCCTACAGTGGAGATGGGAGAGAGTGCAAAGAAATGCTTAGTATGGGTTCCCACATAATTTGTTCCTCCTCTCGTGAATACGTGACCTTTCTTTCCTTAAGGTAACAGAAGTTTGACTATTACCAATGTGGCCATTCTTTCTCTATAAGGGGTCTAAGTATAAATAGAGAAGGCAGTGGGTTACAGGAGGCAAACATTTTTCTAGCTGTGATTTTACATTTTGCTGTGATCCAGGGCAGGGAAGCAAACACTGTTTGGAAGGAATAAACATGGATTATAAAAAAGGAATCAAGTGAATTGGTCCCCAGGGGTCACCACCTGGGACACATCCTCCTGCTCTCCAGTGGGAGCTCATGCTCTCTGGAAACGTGCTGATGCATTATGGAGAGGACTGTCACTGCACAGATGTTCTTATAGTACTGCTTTTATGAGATGTGTTCTCAGTTCTCGGTATGTGGCTGAGATTAGCGATTTGAAAAGATCCACATGGCTACAATGTGAAGAACAGACTGGAAGAGGCCAGGCTAGTTAGGAAGTGAGAGATGGTGGAAACTTTAATAGAGTTTTCCCCAATGTATGAAACAGCCGTTTCATATATGGGGGATTTCTGTAGTCAGAGGTTTGTTACTTGTGGGGTCAGAGATTGATGAAGGATCCACGGAGCCTGCAAGAATGTAGAATCACAAAGCCATGAAGGGAGTGGTGAGCAGGGTAAGATATTCCAAAGAATCAAGACTGAGAAAGCATGTGATTGGCAATGTGTGGATCAGTAATAACGTTAGCAATGCCTTTTCAGTGGCACCAGGTTGCAGGAGTACCCAGTGGTTGAAGAAGCAACCAGCTGTTCTCCACACTCTAGCCATGAGTGGCCTAGGCCAACCCCAAGTAGGGACCTAGACCAGCAGTGGCAGCAGCAGAAATGCAGCATCTAGCCTTGCTTCTGTCTCAGACCTAACAAATCAGAACCTGCATTTAAATAAGATCACTCAGGATTCTTAAGCACATGGAAGTTTGAGAAGCACTAGTATGGATCAGTCTTCAAGAAGTTTGGCAATGGTAGGTAAGAGACAAAATCCAGATAAGAGGGAGATACTAGAAATGGAAATGGAAGAGAGAGAAGAGCCCAAGAAGAAAAGGCTGGAATCCAAAGAACTAATTAACCTGGGGAGAGAGGTGTGACTCTTCCTTTGTGGAGGAAAATGGAAAAGAAGAATGGAAGAGAAAGTGTGAAACCAAAGGTAGATAACTGAGAAAACTTTGTGGTCAGATGGCCAACTTCTCTCCAGTAAAATTGGTGGCAAGGTCAACCGTTGAGAAGGAGAAAGAGGTTTTAAGCCAAATGACACTCCATTGTTTAGAAACTCCTTTAACTTACAGGGGTCTACTTTAAATGACATTTACTTTTGGTTAACATGTCTTTGTATGTTTTTCCTTTTACCTCCTTTAAACAGATATGCATCAATGTATAAAAATTATTAACTACCTTAACAACAATTTACAATAAAACTTTTGGATTTGTGCAGGTAGTCTGATGAGGCTAAGTTGAGCCATGAACTTCACTAGGGCCAGCATTATATAGCTTGCTGACATTATTAAGTCAAATAAATATCATGGCTGCAACAATGTATAAAACTTGAAGAACAAAAAAAAGTTTAATCTTTACCTACAGTTTTTAAGTCTGTAAAGTCTGCTAAATCAATCCAATGATCTGAAAAGTTCATCTCAAAGTCAGATATATTAGTGATTTACTTCATTGGTTTTCTGATGGCCATTTATCATGAGGTATAGAATCTTCAGTATGAATGAGGGAAATAAAAAACTTGACATCCTTGACTCTTATATAAACTAAATATCTGATTTATAAGACACAAATGAACAAACTTCTAAGGCCTGTCATGTTTTTTCAGTTTCTAATTTATTCAACCTCGGCTCAATATTGATCCTGACAAGCAGAGTAGCCCAAAGATAAATTTATTCATTCCACAGTTGAGTCAAGAACAAGCCAAAAATTATAGATTTTCCCAGGCAGATGATGACAGGCCGTCAAAGGGATGACAAATGGCTGTCTTTAGATTTATTAAGAATGGTTGGTCCAGACATTTCCGATAAAAATTGGAGGATGCTGGTCAGATACAGGTTCATCAGTGGTCATCATTAATGGTAGAGAGAACACTGCTGCGCTGCAGACACCTATACAGGAGCTTAGGCATCAGCCCTGCAGGGGAAATAGAATTTGCTCCTCAGTATTTTGCAGCACTCCTCTAAGTGATAGCATGACATGATCATTTATCAAACAGAGACTGTCCAGAAAAGTGTCTGCTTCCTTTAGTAACTTATTGAAGAACAGGAAAGTGAAAGCTTTTTATTAAAGACAGGAAGGCAATGAACAACCAGAGCGTATCCAAAGGGTAATCGTATTTCAGCACAGGATTAGTTTAGTCTTAAATAAACATACACTGGAGGGAGTATGTCGAGGGTCATTTATCAAGTAAGGAACAATTAACAAAGCTCTAAGCACTCTTTTTATCTATATCAATTTAAAGTTCTCTAATTGTCCTTACTAACTTTTAGATGCTGGGCATCACATTCGACACTGTAAAAAAATGTGATACACAATCCCTTCCTTACAGGTTTTTAGAGTAGGAGAAATACAATGTAACTCTCACATAAAATAAGATAGCTGTGGCTGTATTAAACACTGACAAACAAATAGTGTTGGAGAAGGCATATTCCAGAGTCCAGAACTGAAGGCTGAAGTTACATTTATAAAGATAACTTTCTTATAAAAAGTAAACTACTTATTTGTCAGTAGGTCAAGAAGCTTCTTCTTCTTTACTTAAAATGTTTTCACTCTCTGTTAACAAAAATTAAGCGAAAGGGAATTAGTTAAGAGATAGCAGGGTGGGCAAACCAGCAGAGAACTGACACTTTTATTACTTGCTTTGTTCCAGGCACTTTATATGCCATGGCAACTAATCTTAATTAACCTCGTGTGATAGATGAAGACATACATTTGCCTAAGGTCACACAGTCAGCAGCAGTGCCAGGAAGTTTAGTATTGCCAGATATTTTTAAAAATAATGTCTTACATTTTCACATAAATTATTTATTTGAATCCCTCAAAGTCTAGCACAGACTGAATTCAGGGTATATATCCAAAGGAGTGAAATTACTATTTTAAAAACCTCATCTGCGCTCCTGTGTTCTTTGCAGCAATATTCACAATAGCCAAGACATGGAAACAACCTAAATGCACTACTTTTGTCGAGTAATTCATTACAGATTAAATGTATTTGATTTTAAAAATAAAGAACAGAACTTTGAGCACATATAAGAAATACTCAAAGTGTACTTCATTTTCATTAAATAGTAGTTAAAATATATTTTTTAGAAACGAGGGAAGGGGAGAAAGCAAGAAATGACAGACAAGGTACTGGGAAAAGAGTGACATTGGATGGGAAAAGAAACCCAAAAAGGAAGCAGAGGCTATGAAAAGAGCAAACTGAGACAGTTCGTTAAGTGCCATTAATCTGTTTTCCTCACATTTATTTGGGTTATAGACCATGGAATAATTTTATTATTCCTTGAAATATCAATGAGCTGTTTTACTTCTTGTAAGCTATAAAAACATGCAAATATGTATGATGTATTGTAAAACAAAATTATACTCACAGTACAATTATGACAATTAAAAATATGTGCCCTCCCAAAAGTCCCTATGCTCAAAATTAGAAGGATATATAGCAACATATTAAAAGTGATCTTTGCATAGTATGAATACAAATGATTTTTCCCCCTTCTATATTCCCCTTTCGTAGGTGTTTGTTTTTTGTTTTTGTTTTTTTAACAGATTTAATTTGTAAAATAAAAAGCAACAGTAAGCATTGCTTACAATCGCAAGGGACTGCTTACTCACTACCCCTTAATTGCCTAATTTGTAAATTTCTATGAGCTACACTAAGAATAGGACATCTTCTGCAGGAAAAAGCTTTTTCTGAGCTGCAGTGGGGACCATTTAAGGGAGTATGATGGGGAACAGTTGTGTGGCCCTCAACTTAGGACCTCAGTTTTTGCCTCATCTTTAGTGCCTTCTATTATGAGTATAGATTGTTTTATTCAAAATTTAGTTATTATGCACATTCTAAGTATGTGGCTCTGAGCTAGAACTCCACAAAAACAGCAATTACCTTTTAAAACAGTAAACTGACACACTAGAGGTATTGGCAATTATGAAATGCTTGTGCTTTGCTTTTTCTTCTCTTATAGGATTTGGAGTTTTTACTGAACAAGTTGATGAAGCTGTGGAAAATTGATCTAAATGGAAATCCTGTTTGTCTCAAACCAAAATACAGGGACAGGCTGATACTGGTGTCCAAATCACTGGGTACGTATTTATATTAATATAATTTTTAAGAGAATAACACCTAGTTAACTTTTTAGTTATTTTACTGGCAAGCTTTCAGAAATATAAATATGACATCTGGATCTGTGAAAATTGTCGATTTTCAATTCAATATTTTGAATAAGAGCAAAAGCTAAAATTGATAAATAAAGCATGAAAAGCATCTGCTTTTCAGAAATAATGAATTAAAACACCTAATACTTATTCCTTAAAGAGAATATTTTATTGCCAATAAAAATGGTTAGCCATAAATGCGTAGAACTTGCTGACCCTTTGCCAAACTTTTGTTGACATAAATCCTTTGATGATCTCAAGAGACTCCTTAGCTCTTGGTTCTGTAGATAAAATTGATCGAGGTTTTCATTGCTTGACATCTGCCAAATGTTACCATAAGAACATAGAGGAATCCCTTTCATTTGATAGGGGAGCAGGCTGGGAAGACCCTTTATGAGATCCTTACAAATAAGAACATTCCTGAATATGCACTATACTGGGGGAAATGGACAAAAGCACTTTATTAATAGTTACCAAGTGACATAGCATCAGAGAGACGAGCAGTGACCTCTCATGAAGGCACTGGTTTACTGTGTCCTGCAATAAGTAATATGGGAGTCATTTTATGTTTTTTAGGTTATCCAGTCCTCACCAAATAGAGTGAAAACCCACATATTTGGCTTACCTAGCATGAGTGGAAACAAATTTTTTATTGAGAGCAACTTATTAAATTAAATAAATCTCATAGGTCTATGATCTTGCATCCATTACCTGGCTCCCAATTTTGAACCATTTTCACACCTATTAACCTCAAATAAGATCATTTGTGGCCACGCAAAGTGTCTCATGCCTGTAATCCCAGAACTTTGGGAGGCGAAGGCGGGTGAATTGCCTGAGCTCAGGAGTTCAAGATCAGTCTGGGTAACACGGTGAAACTCTGCCTCTACTAAAATACAAAAGAATGGCCTGACATGAGGGCCTGCACCTATGATCCCAGCTACGCAGGAGGCTGAGACAGGAGAATCGCTTGAACTCGGGAGGCAGAGGTTGCAGTGAGCCAAGATCATGCCATCGCACTCCAGACCTGGGTGACAGAGCGAGCCTCCGTCTAAAAAATAAAAAATCATTTGCTAAAAATGAGATGAAATCAGGTTAACTGAGGCACAGTTTCCTAGTCATTCCTCACCGCTGTTTAGGACATTAACATGAGGAAGAAGAGATTACAGTAAAAGACTTGGGCCGGGCGCGATGGCTCACGCATGTCATCCCAGCACTTTGGGAGGCCAAGGCGGACGGATCACGAGGTCAAGAGATAGAGACCATCCTGGACAAAATGGTGAAATCCCGTCTTTACTAAAAATACAAAAATTAGCCTGGTGTGGTGGCATGCACCTGTAGTCCCAGCTACTGGGGAGGCTGAAGTGGAAGAATCGCCTGAACCCAGGAGGTGGAGGTTGCAGTGAGCCGAGATTGCACCACTGCAGTCCAGCCTGGCAACAGAGCAAGACTCCATCTCAAATAAATAAATAAAAGACTTGGAATTTCCATTCCTTATCTTTATAACATATTTTTAAAATTTGTATTTATTACATATATCCCATCCAAAAATATACTAACAAGCTATATAATTATTAACAAAATAGATCTGGAAAGACATCAATAAATATAAGTGGCTGGAAAAACTGAGCATCAGAGAATGACCTTTACAGTAGAGACAGGGTTTCACCATGTCGGCCAGGCTGGTCTTGAACTCCTGACCTCAAGTGATTCACCCGCCTCGGCCTCCCAAAGTGTACCGCGCCAGACCTGCCACCTCTGTTAAATAAGGGAGCAAAGGTTAAGGAGGGATGGCTAATTCTAGTGACCATGATTGTGAAAGAATTTACTTTCTATCAGAAAGGCTGTGTTTGAGCACAAACGAAAAAGCTTCACTCTTCGTTCCAGCAAACGTTTACTTTTGCGCAGTTATTCTCCTTATGAGGAAAACTACAAGTAGCCCAATTTCCGCTTCAGGATGTTGAAGACATTAACTTGACAGAAATCTAGTTAATAGGTTTGGCCTGGGAAACAGAAAGCAAGCAAGCCAGGGAAACTTCGGTTCTGCGATGCATGTGCTCTGCCTCGAAGTGGCAAACACGGGCACAAATTGGCTGCCTGACCCTCCCTGCTCAAGCATTGGGAGACAGTGGTGCGGCAGCAGCCATGGCTGTAGCGACGGTAGGTCGTAGGGCAGTAAGATGGTTTCAGGTTCTGGTTTAACGTTCGGCCTCCATCTCTGAGGCTGAAGTTTGTGAGGTGTAGTATTGAGTCCCATTTGAGCTATTCCCTTTTTCCTGAAAAATGACACTAAGAAGGAGCTGGATGAGCTGAAACCATGGATATAGAAGGCAGTAAAGAGGGCACTGTGTTTCTTAGAGCCTGCAGTGGTCACAGCAGCATTAAACTGTGTGGGGTAGAGCACGTACAAGAAGATGGCAGCTGATAATCTGAAACCTTTTCTTGATTATTTTTACTCTCCGATTTGTGGATAAACTAAGGCTGTGGAGAAAGGCGGAAGCTCTAGGCATTCCAAGTGTAGCAGTGACAGGAGCAGAAAATGAGAGCTAAAGGAAGTGTTTGGTGATGACTCTTGAGATCAGGAGTAAAGAAGCGACGAATACCCCATTTTGAGGAGGTGGAAGAAGAGTCAGAGGTGATCCCTGGGTCTCCATCAGAGAGCCCTGGCATGCTGACTAAGCTCCAGATCAAACAGATGATGGAGCAGCAACACGACACATCGAGGAGAGGAAAAAACAGCTGAGCTTCATTAGCCCCTGTACATCTCAGCCAAAGACTCCTTCTTCCTCCCAACCAGAGTGACTTCCAATTGGCAACACTATTCAGCCCTTCTAGACTGCCACTTTCATGAATGATGCCATTGAGAAGGCAAGGAAAGCAGCTGAACTACAAGCTCATATCCAAGCCCGGCTGGCACTGAAGCCAGGACTCATCAGTAATGCCAACATGGTGGGTCTGGCTAATCTCCATGCCATAGGCATTGCTCCCCTGAAGATGGAGTTAAAAGACCAAATTAAACCTGCACCACTGATCCTAGATGAGCAAGGCACACTGTAGATGCAATAGGCAATGAGATTGAGCTGACACACTGCATCCCTACTCTGAAGGCCAATATTCGTGCTGTGAAGAGGGAACCATTGCAGCAACAGCTAAAATAAAAGCCATCAGAAGACATGGAGTCCAATACCTTTTTTGACCCCTGAGTCTCCATTGCCTCTTCTCAGAGACAGAGATGCAGTTTTAAATTCCATGACAAAGGCAAATTTGCAAAGATTGCTCAGCGATTAAGGACAAAGGCTCAACTGGAGAAGCTATAGGAGAGATTTCACAAGTAGCTCAAAAAACAGGCTTCCATACTTCAACTAGGCTTGCCCTCATTGCTCCTAAGAAGAAGCTAAAGGAAGGAGATATCCCTGAAATTGAGTGGTGGGACTCATATAATCCCCAGTGGCTTTGACCTTACAGAGGAAAATCCCAAGAGACCAGATTATTTTGGAATCACAAATCTTGTTAAACATCCAGCCCAGCTCAATCCTCCAGTCAACAATGACACACCAGTTATTCTGGGAGTATATCTTAACAAGAAGGAACAGAAATAAATTCGGAGACAAACAAGGAGGGAAGCACAGAAGAAACTACCAGAATAAGTCATGCTGGGCCTGATGCCTCCTCCAGAACCCAAAGTGAGAATTTCTAATTTGATGCAAGAATTAGGAACAGAAGCTGTTCAAGACCCCACGAAGGTAGAAGCCCATGTCAGAGCTCAGATGGCAAAAAGACAGAAAATGCATGAAGAGGCCAACACTACCTGAAAACTCATAGCAGAACAGAGAAAGGTCAAGAAAATTAAAAAGTTTAAGACATTTCACAGGGGGTACACATATCTGTATATAGAGTTAGAAATTTGAGCAACCCAGTCAACAAGTTCAAGACTGAGGCTGATGCTGGGCAGTTGTACCTGACAGGAGTGGTAATACTGCACAAGGATGTAACATGGTAGAAGTGGAAGGGGGCCCCAAGGCCCAGAAGAAATTTAAGCATCTTATGCTGCATCAGATAAAGTGGGATGAACATACATCTAACATAAAAGGAGATGATGAGGAGGAATCCGATGAAGAAACTGTGAAGAAAACCAACAGATATGTAGTAGTCTGGGAGGGTACAGCCAAAGACTGGAGCTTTGGAGAGATGAAGTTTAAACAGTGTCCTACAGAGAACACGGCTCGTGAGCATTTCAAAAAGCATGGGGCTGAACACTACTGGGAAATTGCACTGAGTGAATCTGTTTTAGAGTCCACTGATAGAGACTACTGTGAGCTCTTGCCTCTCCCCAGTTGCCTTTGTCTCATCAGTCCTCTCACTTACTGTGTTTCCCAATCCACTCCCACTTGTTTGTGTGATCTCAGAACTGTGCCAAGCAGACACTGGGACAAAGGGAGAATATCTTCCTCCTTTCTCGAATCAGCCTGGTGTTGCCCTTTATTCCCTTTGTATGCATATGATTAAAGAGTTATTTTTTTGAATAAATCAATAATTTAAAAAAGAATGGCCTCTAATGTAAAGTTATAAGTACTAAGGTGTGTGACAATTTCTTATGGTTTGGAGAGTGCTATCTTGTTCAGTGAAAAAAAACTACATGAAATAAGATATGAAGACAATTTTACTTCTAGATTCTATGGTTCTAGTTTATATTTTCTGCTTCAACATTTTATTTTGTACTTTGGGTATAACACAGTATTATGGCTCATGTTTAAGTGGTAGTGTTAACATTTTCAGTAGTATGACCAATATTTTATCAGAATATTGTCATTATCCCTGAAAGAATGTATGATCTAGGCTGGGCACAGTGGCTCACACCTGTAATCCCAGCACTTTGGGAAGCCAAGGCGGGCAGGTCATTTGAGGTCGGGAGTTCAAACCAGCCTGACCAACGTGGAGAAACTCCATCTCTACTAAAAGTACAAAAAATTAGCTGGGCTTCGTGGCGCATGCCTGTAATCCCAGCTACTCGGGAGGCTGAGGCAGGAGAATCACTTGAACCTGGGAGGCAGACATTGTGGTGAGCCAAGATCATGCCATTGCACTCCAGCCTGGGCAGCAAAAACAAAACTCCATCTGAAAAAGAAAAAAAAAAAGAATGTGTGATCTAATAAATTTTATTATATTCTTTCCGTATTCTGGGATCTAGTAGAAGACATTACATGGATAATGAGAGAAAATATCTAATTTTCAAAACTACTATACAAAAATTTTATTAGAAAAAAATCTATCAAGCAGAGTCCTATAGAAAGAAAGAAAAAAATTAAGAAAAAAAATCATCCTTATATTAAATGAAGGCTATCTGTGTTTATGTAATTAAATAAATATAGGCAATATAAAATATCCTATAATAAGGGAATTGTTCAATATTTTATAGGATATTCATAAACAATAGAGGAAGCCATTGAAAACTGTTTAAGGAAAGACATGGTGAAATATTCACAATACAATATTTAAAAACAGGATGCAAAACTAATATAGAGGATTCCAACTTTATATACATATATAGAAAATAAAAACATGCTAAGAAATATACAAAAATGTTATCAGTGATTCTTTCTCATTGGGGAATAATACTTTTTATTTTTTGTGTGTTTTCTAAATGTCTTACAACAAACAAAAATTATTTGTATAATTTATGAAGCTCAATTTCTATCACACCTCTGTAATCCCAGCACTTTTGGAAGCCAAGGTGAGAGGATTGCCTGAGGCCAAGAATACAGGAGCAGCGTGAGCAACATAGTGAGATCCCATCTCTACAAAAAAAAATGTTTTTAATTATCCAGGCATGGTGGCAAATGGCTATAGTTCTAGCTACTCGGTTGGTTAAGGCAGGAGGATCACTTAAGCTGAGGAGTTTTGAGGTTGCAGTGAGCTAAGATCATGCCACTGCACTCTAGCCTGGGTGACAGAGTGAGATCCTGGCTCAAAAATAAATAAATAAACAAACAAACATAGTAAGTAATAATAAATTAATTAAAAAGTAATAATAAATAAATAAACAGACACAGTGGCTCATGCCTGAAATTCTAGCACTTTGGGAGGTTAAAACAGGCGGATTGCTTGAGCTCAGGAGTTCCTGGCCAGCCTGGGCAACATGGCAAGACATTGTCTTCACTAAAAACACAAAGAAATAGCTGGGGAAAGAAACACACCCACGGTCCCAGTTACTCGGGAGACTGAGGTGTGAGATCGCTTGAGCCCCAGGGGACAGAAGTTACTGTAAGCCAAGATCACTCCATGCACTCCAGCCTGGATGACAGAGCGAGACCTTATCTCAAACACACACACACACACACACACACACACACACACACACACACACAAAACAAGAAGAAGAAGGGGTATCAATGATAATTACAGAGACTTCTAATGTTTTATTTAATTATATTTCCATTGTTTATAACAAGCACACATTCTTTTTGGAATTAAAAAAATGTAAAAATAAATAAAACCACAACAAAAGTACATATATTGTGTTATTAAGGTATTTTGAAAACAAATTTATTTCAGTCTATGATGTAACTTAAATTTCTGTGCTCTGAACCAGAAGTGCGTATTTTGACTTGTGTTTATATGTATATATTGTATTTTTTAAGACATATGTATATTTTTCTCCAGAATTTCTTGATGGAAAAGAAATTAAAAATATAGAAAGACAATTCCTGATGAATTGGAAAGCATCCAAAGATGCCAAGAAAATCAGCAAAAAAAGGAGCAGTAAAAATGAGGATGCAAGCAACTTGTTCATAAGGAAGCACTCTGTCACTCATTAGCTGACCACTCTTATAGCAAAGGGAATATTCTAAGCAACAAAAAAATGCCAACAAATAAAATGGTTTTTGCTTAGTATTTTTTTGTTTGTTTTATGGGGTTTTTTAAAAACTGATTTACTTAGTTGTACATAAAGATAAGTACAATTTGTCTTGTATTGGAAATTTTACCTATAATGTTTATATATGAAAATGGAAGCACTCTGAACAAAAGCTGTGTGTGATTTTGTGTAAACATAGAGCCACGAGGGTGGGGAAAGATGTATAATTTTATATCTGGCAAAAGTGCATCATACCAGCTATGTAAATTGTGAAACCTAAGCCACTAGTATATTTGTTTAGTAACAGTGCAAAAAGTCTGGATGTGGTGGCTCACGCCTGTAATCCCAGCACTTTGGGAGGCTGAGGAGGGTGGTACACCTGAGGTCAGGAGTTCAGGACCATCCTGGCCAACATGATGAAACTTCATCTCTACTAAAAAACCAAAAAATTAGCCAGGCATGGTGGCGGGCACCTGTAATCCCAGCTACTTGGGAAGCTGAGGCAGGAGAATCGCTTGAACACAAGAGGCGAAGGTTGCAGTGAGCCAAGATTGTGCCATTGCACTCCAGCCTAGGCAACAAGAGCAAAACTCCATCTCAAAAAAAAAAAAGTGCAAAAATCACATTTTTCATCAGGATAGAAAATAACAATGTATTGGCCAGGCACAGTGGCTCACGCCTGTAGTCGCAGCACTTTGGGAGGCCAAGGCAAGAGGATCATGAGGTCCAGAGATGGAGACCATCCTGGCCAACATGGTGAAACCCCATCTCTACTAAAAATACAAAGATTAGCTGGCGTGGCAGCAGGTGCCTTTAGTCCCAGCTACTTGGGAGACTAAGGCAGGAGAATCACTTGAACCCAGGAGGTGGAAGATGCAGTGAGCCCAGATCATGCCACTGCACTCCAGCCTGGTGACAGGGCGAGACTCCATCTCAAAAAACAAAACAAAACTGAAAAAAATGCAGATGTAGTTACATCTGCAGACTGTACCCCTTCTTATGCACATACCCCAACAACTGAATGTTTTGATTATAATATACCTAAAGTTGTGTTACAAAGGACATACCAACCTCCTTTGCCTAACTAATGTGACAAAATGTAACTAAGAGTAATGTGTAAGTTATCTTTATTTTGGAACATCCAAGAACTGACTAGTCTGGCTGGGCTCAGTGGCTCATACTTTTAATCCCAGCACTTTGAGAGGCTGAGGCTGGTGGACCACCTAAGGTCAGGAGCTCCAGGCCATCTTGGCCAGCATGGTGAAACTCCATCTCTACAAAACATAAAAATTAGCCAGGCATGATGGCAGGTGCCTGTAATTCCAGCTACTTGGGAAGCTGAGACAGGAGAATTGCTTGAACCCAGAAGGTGGAGGTTGCAGTGAACTGAGATTCTGCCATTACATTCCAGCCTGGGAGACAGAGCAAGACTCTGTCTCAAAAAAGAAACAAAAGAAAAGAACTGACTAGTCACCGATTTTTTAGCCTATGATGTTGGAATGAGCCCCTTCCTCTTTTCCATGATAGAGTTTGATGCTAATGTTCTTGTTCTACAACTGATTAAGGGAGCAGATAAGGACACAGTGAAGGGGCTAAGCCAGGGGAATATGAAAAGGGAAATGGGGATGCTGTAGTGAGGCATTATGCACAGATAGCATATTGTAGGAGCTCTGTCATTCTAGGACAAGGTGTTTGACATGAGGAGGAACATGGGTGGAGAGGCATGGACCTCTAGTGATTTTGCCATATCATGTTCACTGAATACTATAGACCAAGCATGGTGGTTCACACCTGTAGTTCCAGCACTTTGGGAGGCTGAGGTAGGAAGATAGTTTGAGCCTAGGAGTTCAAGATCAGCTTAGGCAACACAGTGAGACCTCATCTATACAAAAACTATTTTAAAATTAGCCAGGCATGGTGGCATGTGCTTGTTGTCCCAGCCACTTGGGAAACTGAGGCAGGAGGATCACTTGAGCCTGGGAGATCAAGGCTGTAGTGAGCCATGATTGTGCCACTTCACTCCATCCTGGGCAACAGAGCAAGACCCCATCTGAAAAAAATAAAGAATATAAACTATGGAAGATTATTAGGTAGAATGGGACTTTCTTAGTTGACAATATACTCATGAGTATATTGCAATATACTGTGTTGCAATGTGAATTTCTCAAGATCTGAAACTTCTAAAATAATCAGAAAGCATTTTTCCTCTATTCATTGCTGGCTGGCTGTGAAGGGCAGAACTAGACCTAGGGTAAGGATTCTAGTATTTTACATATTTTCAGTATTACACCAAAGATGTCACCTTTTTACTATTTAATACTAGCCCTCACCCCAGAATTGGGCCAATTCTAAAAATAATGTAGTTTCTTTCATATTAACAGATTTTGAAAATTCTTCCTAATTTAGGAGCAACTATATTAATTGTTAACATCAATGAAATTTTACAAAATAATACTGTCTTTAAATTTCGAACTTTAAAAAAATTGTAGTCAACTAACCAAAGCAATCTATACAATGCAATCCCTATAAAAACTACATTCTTCACAGAAATAGAAAAAAAATTACTAAAATGTATATGGAACCACAAAGAACCCCAAAGAACCAAAGCAATCCTGAACAAAACCAACAAAGCCAGAAGATTCAAGATATATTACACTACTAGACTTCAAGATATATTACAAAGCTATAGTAACCAAAATACCATGGTATTGGTATAAAAACAGAAACATAGACCAGTAGAACAGAATAGAGATCCCAGAAACCAATCCACTTATCTATAGCCAACTAATTTTTGGCAAAGGTGCCAAGGACATACATTGGATCACAGCTCACTACAGCCTCAATCTCCCAGGTTCAAATGATCCTCATGCCTCAGCCTCCCAAGTAGCAGAGATGATGGGTGTGTTCCAACATGCCCAGCTAATTTTAAAATATTATTTGTAGAGATGAGGTCTCACTGTGTTGCCCAGACTAATCTTGAACTCCTAGGCTCAAGCTATCCTCCTCTTCAATAAATGGTGATTGGAAAACTGGATATCCACATGCAGAGGAACGAAACTAGATCCCCAGCTCTCACTCTACGCAAAAATCAACTCAATATGAATCAAAGGCCTAAATGTAAGACCTGAAACTATAAAACTACTAAAAGAAAACATAGAGGAAATGCTTCAGGACATTGATCTGGAAAAAGATTTTATAATAGGACCTCAAAAGCACAAGCAATGAGAACAAAAACAAACAAATGGGATTATATCAAACTAAAAAGCTTCTGCCCAGCAAAGGAAACAAGAGTGAAAAGACAACATAAGAATGGGAAAAAATATCTGTAAAGTATTCATCTGACAGGATTATTACTGAGAATATACAAGGAACTGAAACATCTCAACAGCAAAAAAAACAACAACCAACAATCCAGTTTTTAAATGGGCAAAGGATCTGAACAGACATTTCTCAAAAGAAGACATACAAATGGACAACAAATATAAGAAAAATATGCCCAATATCCCTAATCATCAGGGATGCAAATCAAAACCACAATGAGGTATTGTCTCATCCCAGTTAAGATGGCTATTAACAAAAAGACAAAAAAATAATAACAGCTGGCCTGTTAATGGTGGCTCACACCTGTAATCCCAGCATTTTGGGAGGCTAAGGTGGGTCAGGAGTTCAAAAGCAGCCTGGCCAACACAGTGAAACCCTGTCTCTACTAAAAACACAAAAATTAGCAAAGTGTGGTGTTGCACACCTGCAATCCCAGCTACTTGGGAGGTTGAGGCACAAGAATTGCTTGAACCCAGGAGGTAGAGGTTGGCAATGAGCTGAGACTGCACCACTGCACTCTAGCCTGGGTGACAGAGTGAGACATAATCTCAAAAAAAAAAAAAAAAAGCTGATGATATTGTTTGGCTGTGTCCCACCCAAATCTCATCTTGAACTTTAGCTCCCATAATTCCCATGTGTTGTGGGAGGGACTGGTGGGAGATAATTGAATTATGGGGGCTGTTTCCCCCATACTGTTCTTGAGATCTGATGATTTTATAAGGGGTTTCCCCTTTTGCTTGGCTCTCATTCTCTCTTGTCTGCCACTATGTAAGATGTGCTTTTCACCTTCTGCCATGATTGTGAGTCCACCCCAGCCACGTGGAACTGTGAGTCCATTAAATCTCGTTTTCTTTATAAATTACCCAGTCTCAGTGATGTCTTTATCAGCAGCATGAAAATGAACTAATACAGCTGGTGAGGACACAGAGAAAAGGGAGTTCTCTTATACACTATTGGTGGGAATGTAAAGTTGTACAACCACTATGGAGAACAGTGTGGAGGTTCCTCAAAAAACTACAAATAGGGGACTGGACGTGGTGGCTTACATCTGTAATCCAGGTACTTTTGGAGGCCAAGGCAGGAGTATCAATTGAGACTAGGAGATCAAGATGAGCCTGGGCAACAAAGCAAGACACCATCTCTTTTTAAAATTAGCTCAGTATGGTAGTACACATCTGTAGTCCCAGCTACTCAGGAGGCTGAGGCCAGAGGATGGCTTGAGCCCAGGAGTTTGAGGCTGCAGTGAGCTATGATCAAGCCACTGCACTCCTATCTGGACAACAGAGCAAGACCCTGCCTCTTGGAAAAAAAAAAAAAAAAAGCAAAGCAAAACAAAAAACCTACAAATAGAACTACCAGATGTTCCTTGAATTTAAAAATAAAATTCAAAAAAAAAAAGAAAAAAAAATTCATGAGACTACCATGAAATAAAAATAAAAAATAAAAAAAAAGAAAAGAAAAAGAAAATTCCTGGCCGGGTTCAGTGGCTCAAGCCTATAATCCCAGCACTTTGGGAGGCCAAGACCGGCAGATCACAAGGTCAGGAGTTTGAGACCAGCCTAGCCAACATGGTGAAACCCATCTGTACTAAAAATACAAAAATTAGCCAGGCATGGTGGCGGGTGCCTGGAGTCCCAGCTACTTGGGAGGCTGAGGCAGGAAAATTGCTCGAACCCAGGAGGTGGAGGTTGCAGTGAGCTGAGATTGCACCACTGCACTCCATCCAGGGTGAGGAGAGAGCAAGACTCCATCACTAAATAAATAAATAAAAATTTTCTTGAATTTAAAAAAAAGAAGAACTACCATATAATCTATGAGTCCCACTACTGGCCATCTATTTAAAGGTAAAGAAATCAGGATATCAAGGAGACATCCATACCCTCATATTTGTTGCAGGAGTATTCACAACAGCCAATATACAGAATCACCCTAAGTGTCCAACAACAGATGAATGGGTTTTTTAAAAAATGTGGTATATATACATAATGGAATACTATTCAACTATCAATAAGAATGAACTCCTGTTATTCACAACAACAATGGATGGAAACAGAGGACATTATGTTAAGTGAAATAAGCCAGGAACAGAAAAAGTGAAACAGTGCATGTTCTCACTCATCTGTGGAAGCTAAAAAAAAAAAAAGGCCGGTGCAGTGGGTCACATCTGTAATCCCAGCACTTTGGGAGGCCGAGGCAGGCAGATCACAAGGTCAAGAGATAGAGACTATCCTAGCCAACATGGTTAAAAGCTGTCTCTAGTAAAAATACAAAAATTAGCTGGGCATGGTGGTGTGCACCTGTAGTCCCAGCTACTCAGGAAGCTGACGCAGGACAATAGCTTGAACCCTAGAGGCAGAGGTTGCAGTGAGCCGAGATCGCACCACTGCACTCCACCCTGGTGACAGAGTGAGACTCCATCTCAAAAAAAAAAAAAAAACACAAAAGTTAATCTCATAGAAGTAAAAAGCAGAAAGAGGATAATACAGGCTGGGAAGGGAAGAGGGGAATAAGGCAAGGGAAAAGAGAGATTTGGTAAAGGTTATAAAATTACAGCCAGATAGGAGGAATACATTTTAGTGTCGTACAGCAGCTGTCCCCAGCCTCTGTAGCACCAGCAACTGGTTTTGTGGAAGACAATTTTTCCATGGACCAGAGGTATGGTGTAAGAGGGCAGATTGTTCTGGAATTATACAAGTTCATTACATTTATTGTGTACTTTATTTCTATTAATATTACATTATAATATATAATGAAATAGTTATACAATTCACCATAATGTAGAGTCAGTTCCCTGAGCTTTTTTCCCTGCAACTAGGTGATCCTATCTGGGAGCAAAAGGAGATAGTGACAGATAATCAGGCATTAGATTCTCATAAGGAGCTCACAACCTAGATCCCTCACATGTGCAGTTCACAACAGGGTTCGTGTTTCTATAAGAAGCTAATGCTGCAGCAGATCTGACAGGAGGCAAAGCTCAGGTGGTAATTCAAGTGATGGAGAGCAGCTGTAAATATAGATGAAGCTACACTAACTCACCTGCCACTCACCTTCTGCTGTGCGACCCAGTGCCTAATAGGCCACAGACCAGAACCATGGGGGTTGGGGACCCCTGTTCTACAGCACTATAGGATGACCATATTTAACAATCATATATAGTTTCAAACACCTAGAAGTAGAATATTGAATGTTTCCAACACAAAGAAATGATAAATGTTTGAGATGATGGATATGCTAATTACCCTGATTTGATCACTATACATTATATGTATTGCAACATAACTATGTATCCTATAAATATGTACAATTATGTCTCAACTAAATTTTTTTAAATGAGTAATTTAATTTTCTAAAAACTTATTATTAATAAATCCTTATTAATCTCTTATAATCTAGTGTGAGCCCCAACTAACACTAGCATAAACAATCTTTTTGGTTTTTTTTTTGGAGATAGAGTCTGTCACCCAGGCTGGAGTGCAGTGGCACAATCTCGGTTCATTGCAACCTCTGCCTCCCAGGTTCAAGAGATTCTCCTGCCTCAGCCTCCCAAGTAACTGGGATTACAGGTGTGCACCACTACACCTGACTAATTTTTGTATTTTTAGTAGAGGTGGGATTTTTACCATGTTGGCCAAGCTGGTCTTGAACTCCTGAACTCAAGTGACCCACCTGCCTCAGCCTCCCAAAGTTCTGGGATTACAGGTGTGAGCCACTGCACCCAGCCCAAAAACAATCTTTAAAGTCATATAGATAAATTAACAACAAGCTATCTGAAAAGAAATTAGGAAAATAATCCCATTTACAATAACAACAAGAGAATAAAATACCCAGGAAGAAACTGAATTGAGATGAAAGATTTATATGCTGAAAACTACAAAATATTGATGAAAGAAATTAAACAAGACATCTCCTGCAATGTCTGCTTATAAATTTTAAAAGATATGAAACAAGACACAAATGAAAAGACACCTCATGTTCAAGAGTTAGAAGACTCAATATTGTTAAAATATCCATAAGACCAAAGTGATCTACAGATTCAATGCAATTTCTATCCAAATTCCAATGACATTTTTAATAGAAATAGAAAAAAGCAATTCTAAAATTCATATGGAACCACTAAAGACCATAAATAGTCAAATTAATCTTAAGAATGAAGAACAAAGCTGAAGGTATAACATTTCCTAATTTTGAAATATATTACACAGCTGGGCTCGGTGGTTCACACTTGTAATCCCAGCACTTTGGGAGGCCGAGGTGGGCGGATCATGAGGTCAAGAGTTGGAGACCAGCCTGACCAACAAGGTAAAACCCTGTCTCTACTAAAAATACAAAAATTAGCCAGGTGTGGTGGCACACAACTGTAATCCCAGCTACTCAGGAGGCTGAAGCAGGAGAATCACCTGAACCCAGGAGGCAGAGGTTGCAGTGAGCCAAGATCACAACACTGCACTCTAAAGCAATAATGCTCTACTTAGAAATTCACTTCAATTTGGTGGGAATTTAGAAAAATTCAAGATGTGGAAATATGTGATATGTAAGCAATTTTTATAACTAAAAAGGAGCTAGAAGAAAGAATAAAAAAATACTACGAATTTCAATTTTTTTTTTTTGAGACGGAGTCTTGCTCTGTCGCCAGGCTGGAGTGCAGTGGCGCAATCGCAGCTCACTGCAACCTCTGCCTACCGGTTTCAAGCGATTCTTCCGCCTCAGCCTCCAGAGTAGCTGGGACCACAGGCACGTGCTACCATGCCCGGCTATTTTTTGTATTTTTAGTAGAGACGGGGTTTCACCATGTTGGCCAGGATGGACTCGATTTCTTGACCTCGTGATCTGCCAACCTCGGCTTCCCAAAGTGCTGGGATTACAGGCGTGAGCTGTCGCGCCCGGCCAAATTTCAAAAATTTTAAAGGAGTACTCAAATAGATTACACAATTTACTATATTGAAAAATGGTCTCGGCTGGGTATGGTGGCTCACGCCTGTAACCCCAGCACTTTGGGAGGCCCAGGCGGGTGGACTACTTGAGGTCAAAGGTGGTGAAACCCTGTCTCTGCTAATAATACAAAAATCAACCGGGCGTGTGGCGGGCACCTGTAATCCCAGCTTCTCAGAGGCTGAGGCAGCAGAATTGCTTGAACTGGAAGGCAGAGGTTGCAGTGAACTGAGATTGTGCCACTGCACTCCAGCCTGCACTCCACTCTGTCTCAAAAAAAAAAAAAAAGAAAGAAAAAGAAAAATGGTCTCTAAAGTCAATTAAAATTAAATTTAAAGTGAACACTGACTAGCTGCAGCAGAAAATTTTCTGAGCTTTTCCAGAAGTACTTGGTTATTATTCCTTGGCCATTTGTAGGTGCTCCTTCCCCTTGCCCATGTTTGACATCTCCATCCAAACAGACAGTACACATCTGGAACTCTCAGGCTTAAAAGCAGTGACATCCCTATATATCTGTATGTAATATACAATAACCCTATCCTTTTGTATATGTCCAATAGCATATTATATGCTCTTTATGCAAAGACTATTTATTATGGTGCAAGAGAAAGGGAAAACACAAATTAAAATCTAGAAAATATACTATGTATTTTCAAAATCTACAGTATACCTACCTTTCAGATCTTTAGAAGAGTTAAGATGATCCTTTTAAAGGCACCTCTGTACAATACACTGTAAGGGAACAAGAATTCTTAAAAATATAGTAATAATTTTTGTACTTCCTAATCTTTTACATATTTTTGATAGCCTTGTAAATTTGGAGCTCTATATTGGGGATTATGGTAAAATTATAGGAATTATTATAACCTCTAACTTCAAGGATCTTAATTTAAAAATCGAATCCTGAGTATAGCCATATAGCTATATAACACA